TTCCTCCTTATTGTTGTTTTTGACATTGATATTTTGCCAACTTTCCTTTTTGATATATGTTATATTAAATTTGCGATCGACCGACCAATAAGCATCTCTCAGAATACAAGCCCTAGGGGGTTCAACAGTGAGCCGAGATTTAATAAAAAAGGATCTGAAATACTGAAAATGAACAAGTTAAAACAATTCAGGCGTTATTTTACAAAAGCAGTTCTCACGGATAGCCATCACGTAAATGGTGAAATACAATTATGTAGCATTATGTAGGTGATCCAATTGAACAGAAACTCTTTGCCTTAAGATAATGTTTGTAAACTAGATTATCAAGACACAAAAGATGACGAAGTATTCATGTGGTTTAAATTGCACCATTCCTGTGCGACCAGCTGAATGATTGACATTCCTGGCACTGAAAACAGTAAGAGGTACTGTGAAATACGGCAATGATTAATTGAACTTTAAAAGGCACTTCGATAAGCTGGATAGAAATTAACCCACGTTCGATTCCCAAAGTGAATTTCTCGGAAATTCTATGTCGAGAATTTAATAAAAAGTTGACATTGTTACACTTGTATTGCCTCCCTCGCATCACAATTGTGACTCGCAGCCTTCACTATAACAAAGGTAGCAGTACATGCCAGGCTATGCATATATTGGATGAAGGCTTGTTCAAGAAGACGCCAGTTTTATTCTCAACATTTTAAGGGGAAAACATCCCGTAAACTGCATTTACTGTTTTAAAAGTTATTTTATTTCTTATTGTGCTATTAATTTTATTGATGTTACTAGACATTAATTTGTTATAAAAGTGACCAGTCTGACCTTGCAGTGGACACTGTTGGCCACACATTCCTACAGAAATATAGTATAGAAATGGGAGACAATGTTTGCTTTTATGCCTGACAAACATTGGCTTCCGTCTCATATTGAGATCCCTTTAATAAACGTCTTGTCACGAACCTATGTCACCTGACGTTTGTTGAAAGAACATACAGGGTGTCCGTAAAATCTGGACACGTTAGCAATAAACAAATAATAATAATAATAATAATAATAATAATAATAATAATAATAATAACATTTAATCAAAATATGATGCAGTTGTTGATTTTGGCTGAGGTCAATAATTTGTTTACCTCAGAACTACATGAATGTCAGTGACCTTCACGATGTCGTTAACATCGTTGTGACCCGCCATTGTCAACATCAAGTTGAAGGTACATGTATGCGACTTTTACTCTGTGTATTAAAGACAGAAATCATCAATGATGTGAGAACTCGAATTTTAGGATATAAGATCGTATCTTATGCTAATTATTTCATAACGATAACAAATGACATCTGAAATGCGAGAGAACATGACAATTACATGTAGCTCTTATAGCAGGCGAAATGGCACCAATCAGTTACTTCTGATGGAAGTGACAGTAAGTTGAAGTAAAAAAGGGGATTAAACCTGGGTGTACCTTTTGTTAAGAAAAATATTATACAGACTTGACATTTAATATGGAATATTTTTTCCAAACCATTTTTCATCATTTTTTCCCAATTTTGCTGACTGATAAATGAAAATAAGGATTAAAATCGTGTTTTAATAACTTTAAATTATCTCTTTGATGTCATGCTGACATCAGCTCATTGATTGAATTCGACAGTGAAGCAAGCAGAAATGCATTGCCTATTCTATGTAATACGACAACCATTAAAATAGATATTTTGGATCTCCATATTTTCCAAATTATCGTCTGTAAAAGAGTTACACTCTCCACAAAGGACCCTCATGTTGACAGTGTGTAGTCATAGTAACGGTCGCTGGTTACGCCTGACCTCTTTTGGCTGTAACCAGCGCTCTCAAGAGGCAAGGCATTCCTTGAGATAGGTTTTTAGAGTTCAATCAGGAATAACATTCCAGGCATCGGTCAAAAATTGTCCATTTTGCCCCAGTTTTGTTGTAGGACATGTAGGCCGTTGATTCGGCGAGTAATGGCCTACCCACATATTGTGTATGCGGTTCAAATGTGGCGATTTTGATGACCAGGGTAGCTGCTCATTCCCTTGGTTCTGTTAGTTTTCTGCTATTAAAAGTGCTCTGTGTGAACCGGCAATCTCACCGTGCCACCTCAGATTGTTCCTAAGGTACCTCCTCTCAAATGATATTCAAGTGGTTCCCAGATTATTCCTTTATTTGATCTGGTGCAGAAGTGGTATCCACTCCAAATACTGACGCTGTCAATGCCCCGTGTCACTTTAGACGCGGCACATGCTTCGGCGTAGGCCTTTTCTGGAAATCTGTAAACTCTGTTTTGACTAGCTGGACGGTACAGGTGAAATCTGACCTCAATAAGGAAAGCCACGTGGTTTCAGTGTTCTGCCCAGAAATGGTCATGGCCCCCAATTCACTAGAGAAACAGGCGACGATATTTTGCTGTTTACAGTGGGTACCTCGGAGGTCGTCTGGTATCCTAACCTGCTAAAACCGGTTTGGTGTTTGCTAAGGGCCTTGAAAAACGCATTTTTGTGGCAATTTGCCTCTCGTTCTGAACGGAGTGGGTGGTTTTGTTTAGTTGCAGCAGCGTATCCCGAAAGACAGTGGGTCCTGTACCCTAGAGGTAAGATTTCGATACATTGGGTGTGACCTCTGTGTAAGTACATCAGTCTGGGCATTACTCTATAAAACTCTGCGGACCGTTCCGTTTAACGCTATAATGTTTCTGGTAATGCCTGTCTTTTTCGCGCCATTCTGCCACAGATTAACAAAATTGTAAAGCACTACTTACCTCATTTTACGCACTGCAAAACTGGCCACTTGCATGAAAAATTTAAAATTCTTCTATGCAGTAGTTGCCGACATGTGGATACTTTTTGCCTACCTTTGCCTAACCCAAGCTTTGACCAGCCCAAATGAACACTACCCGATTAAATTACTGCATATTACATAATGTAGCAGCGCAAAAGACATGGAAGTCATTTAATTGGTAGCGACACACCTGACTTCACACTTCTCTATTCACAAATCTTATATGAGATCGGTGTTTTTTGAAAAAAGAATGCATTTTTACCAAGGCATAGCTTCAAAACTGAAATATTCCATATTAAATGTCAAGTCTGTATTTTACATCTTACATGTGACTTCCACCATTTCCGTGATTCTAAGAAGCGTTTATACCCATTTGTGTGACAGATAAAAAGTTATTTACAAGTATGATGATGTTCCCTGTGTGCCGTGAGTTTGGGCACACCCCGTACTATTACTGCACTTTGCCAACAAATCAATGTCGTGTTGGTAGATCATGACTAGGTATACAAGTATGTAGGCTGATGCGCGTCAAAAAGAAAATAACAAAGATGACTGCGTTCGTCAACACTGCACTTAATTAGCATGCCAGAGTTTTCTGGCACACGCAAGGGTGTTTACATCTATCTCACATAGGTGGGACGAAGTGTGTCTTTGCTTACGAAATCGAGGAGTGAAGTGGACGTAGGAAAAAGCCGGCGTTATTTGCGTCATTGTGACGGTCTAACATGCCAATGGGGTTATTTCTGTGTGGTTTCTGCTCATATTTGCGATGGTTGGCAAATTACATACGAGCAGAGAAACAAACAAATATTAGACAGACAAACAAGTGAAAACCCCATTTTCATCTGTAATGATGGAATGATGCTTTTAGATGTGTTTAATGTATTGAAAATCACATTACAAAAGGCGTTAATTGACAATAGTAATAAGCAAAACTGAATAAACATAAATAATTACTTCATGCGTCTGATAATTTAACTTATTATTTATTGAACTTTTCAATTAGATATTTTACACTAGAAAGAATTAGTAGTCAGCAAAACGCCTGGATGCTAACTTCCTTTTTCAAAAGCATGACTTGTTCAGATACACCATGTATATAATTTGCTTATAGCCTGCAGCTAAAATGGTTGGCAGTCAAGCCGAAAAGGACGAAAGAAGAGGATTTTTCAGTCAACTGAAACCCAGAGTAGAGAAAGGCCATCACATACCGGAGACACATACTACAGTTTCACAGTACCAGTATCAACGTAGATTATCAATACGTCTACGCACAATGTTGGCTTAAAAAAACACAGCTAACCAGTGAGATTTATGTAAAATATTTAGTCATTTGTAGTTCGGTGGTATTAATTTGTTTGTGCGTTTGTTAAATTACCAACACAACAGGGTAATGCCAATGATATTTATCTTAGACAGGCTGTTTTGTATGTTTCATACTCCTTTTTCTACTGGGTAAGTATACGTGAGGTCCTGAGATATTGAATAACAGTAGCAGTACTTGAAATAAATTGTTTGCCCCACCCGGGAAACTGGCAATTATCTCACAGAACACATTCATTCAACCAAATGAACAGATATCATGGTAGAAAGAACTTTATTATAACCACTGGTTATATGCCAAAATTGTGGAATTGTTAAGTAGAAATCGAAAGTTCGTCAATGCCGTCGTTTAAGCAAATCGTAACACGTTTCGGTATTAATCTTTTAGGATACTGTAATACATATTTTTTCTGATCTTTAGAATGTAAGGTAAATCGGGTTCTTGGCTCCAAACAAAATACTGACGTGTACATGGATTTGCCATAAAAAGTAGAAATAGAAATTCCTGATAGCTATATAACTACGTGTCGGTGCTTTCGATCTTGAGATGCTCGTCATTAAATGAATGTTTTTACACGTTTTTTCCATTTTATTTCCAATACTAGAAATTAATTTCTTAAAGAAGGTTTTCCTGTAAAAGTTACCAGAGTTTCCAAAGCATGCCAATGAAAGGAATCAGGAGAGTTATACCACTACATGCATATTTCACATTGGAACTACTAGTATAAAACATTTGAATTCTAAAGAACAAGAGCCTACTTCAAACTCGTTAAAATGTTTAACTTCAAAGAGGTTAATGTATGTATGTACAATATGTTCTTGTGGAAAAATAGGCCAACGTACAAATATAAAACATATATATATATATATATATATATATATATATATATATATATATATGGACACTCTTGATATATCACTGTGATGTAATTGGTTAAGAAATTGACGTCACATCTAGGTGGTTTAAAAATTGACGTCACAGCTTACTGACTCCTACCTCAGACACATGTTACCGAGACATTAGTCTGGGACCTGTCTAAAAACGATTAAATAAGTAAAAGGAAACCATTACTCAACTGAGAGACTGAATGAGTTTTCCTTCTTCACCTACTCCTACGGATATCTGGTCCTTTACATTTACAAAACATTTTATCCTCTATCAGTATGCGCTTTTATCCAATATCAATATGTAATTTAATCCTATATCAATGTGCGATTTTCCGAGTATTATTGGACGACGCTGTCCATATGTGTTGGTAATTTCAAATAGTAAGTCAAGATATTTGCAGGACATGTTATCCTTGACCAATATGAAATTTCCGAGTATTTGTGGTCGATGCTATCCAGAATGCACAGATTATTTTATCCTATATCAATATGTACATGTGCAATTTTCCGAGTATTAGTATACGACGCTGTCCAGAATGTTAAGAAGATTTATAGTCAAGAGGAAATCGTCATCAGGATTAAAAAAAAGAACAATCTGATGTTCATGAATACTTTTCGGCAGAACTGTCAAAGGATGTAAAGAAATTATTTTCCCATTTATTCCTCTCTACCATAGGTCGGCTACGTGATCACGTGGGTAGTTGCGCAGAAATCCTCTCCACACAGAACTAACTTCATGTGCGCAGCTGGTGAACAGACAAACAAAATACTTCTTTTAAGAAAACATCTGGCGACAAAAGTGGTTTTGGTAGAGGGGATTATGGGTGGTTGTTACCCTCTATTAAGGACCAGAGTGCTCAGTGCCATGATGAGACCTAGCAGTCCGGCAGGTGTCGCCCGCTGGGTGCCGCTGATCTGGACAGGTGTGCTGGACTGCGGGGAAGGAGCAGATGTAGTGGTGGCCATAGCGGCGTAGAGGGCGCTGAGGTCACACGTGGCGATGGCTTCGTACGTCGTCCCTCCCAGTAGTTCAGATAAGCCCCACCATCTGCTCATATACTGTGTCAAGAAGTAATACATGTCGCCTGTAAAACAAGGGTCGGAGGCCTTCAGAGCGTAGACAGCGGCAAAGCATGTTGGGGTGCAAACAGTCGCCCCTGGCACGCAGGCGTTCTTTAAACCCAGCATATGCCTCCATATTGACAAAACTCGTGCGGGATCATAGGTGATATTCCCCCACAGGACCTGCTCACCAGTCACGTTCGGGTTGACTGGAGGACCGGTCACATTCGCCTTGGCGGCGTGTTGTAGAATACCCAAGGCTGTAAAGAACCCACTCACGTCACAATCTTTGAGGGTAATGGGTTGTTGGTTTGCCAGTTGCCGCTGCATCTCACACATAGGAATGTCCGCGTAGTCCACGCAACTAGTCCAGTTTTGTTTTGGGTAGTAATTGATAAAACCGAAACACATCTCTGCGGCCGTGTCCTCGCCATAGAAGACGAACTGTCCATTGGTGGAAGGTTTGAAAGTACAGCTCAACTTGAACTCGTCTCCTGGGCGGAATTCCACGGGTGGGGATAAGCTGAAACATCAGGAATAGATAGCTATTTCATCCAATGTAAGTGTAAAACATCTCTAATTTCACGAAGTAGACGAGGAGCTTTGAAGTATGTTAAATTATTTCGAACAGAATCCCGGTATTGTCTCAGAAACAATATGAAACTTTCCCTTTCTTTGCACACTTTCCCTTTCTTTATACATTGTGCAAACTACTCCAATGATATGTTATTTTAGTGGACAGTCGGACAGTCGGACAGAGAACTGATAGTCAAGAGAAAAATTGCTCAAAAACTGTATGAGTTGAACATCAATATCTGTACAATAACAATAGTCAGCTTAGCATAATAAATAAATAAATAAATAAATAAATAAATAAATAAATAAATAATATCTACACACATGTGATTCACTGGGGTGTCGTATTGATAGACCACGTCCTCTCCGAGCGTCTGTACCAGCTGCCCGTTGCGGAAATGGTCAAGTTTTGCGCTGTACCCTGAGAAATTAAAAAAAAAAAACAAAAAAAAAAAAACAGTCAACCGTCAAATGTTGGTATACAAATTAATAAACCTTCACCAGGGGCGTGTTGAAATTCTATTATAACGAGCTCTTTACTCATCCGGAATACGATTCATTAGAAATAGTTTGTGACTTTTGGTGGCTTATGTCATTATTTAATTTATACTAAGATGACTTGTATTAGTCACATTGTAATATGCATACAATACAGAATCCCAGTGTCAAGTAGAAAGCTATTAATTTTAAGTTAACTGCATGTTGTCCAGTTCGAGTGAAGACAACGTTAGCAGAACAGACTGATCGTCGTTAATGCTATCTATGGTTACGAAGTTCTTTCCTTAGTATTTAGGACAATAAGCACATATTGGTTTATAAAGACGATGCCACTTTAAACTCTTTTTCTCCTTCGTATATCCTTCTCCTCCTTCTACATATTCTACATTTGTATTGCTGTATAAAGATGACACCACTTTTTTTAGCTCCTTACGCCTTCGTATTCTTGTTCTCCTCCTCCTCCTACTACACTACATGTTCTACTACTACACTACATGTTCTACAGTTGTACTACATTAAAATACCATTTTGCAGTTGTATGGCCTTTCTTTGAATGAACTTTTATACATCTATTTTTGACATTCTGTACTTACCAAGATAGTGCATGTGAAGATTGACGGCTTCTATCATAATGTTGTGTTCCAAGAGCTCACTGGTACAGGCGGAGCCGCATCGCGCGCCGAAGGTCACGTGACCGCCAGTAGGGGGCACCGTAAGCGACATCTGACCGACGACGAAGGTTCCCAGGTCGTATTGTCTCAAGTTTGAAGTGTAGTAGAACACCATGCCGGACTGATCCGTGTAGTCTGATCTCCTCTCTGGGTTGTTCCAGTGGAGCTGTGAACAGTTGGTCCAGATACAGTTAGTTGACATTAGATTATGTGGTTAACAGCATTTGCATCATATTTAGACAGTGTTGTGCTTTTATTGTCATTATTATAAAGCTTTGTGACAGCAGAGAATATGGCCTTTAACCGCTTTTTAAATTGAAAACAAAATTAATACTCGTCGCGCTTGATGATCATGACAAGATAGGTTATATTGCGCCATTTACAGTATTATTTCTCCCTCACCAGCGCCCGATAAACAACAAAGCGAAACGAGATAAAACTAAGTAGTTTCTCTCCTTGCATCTGTCGTGTTTCATTAAAAGATGTCCTCGCCCATTATAAATTATCTGATGAGTTTAGCAAAGCAAAAAGAAAATAATAAGAAACCCCCCTTCCAACCCAACTGTTATTTGAGATCAAGGGTCCATACATTAATTTTAAAATTAATACCTCCATCTTGACTCGCTTGTACCCACGTGATCCAATGCGGATACCAGCCTCTGGCGGATAACAGGCGCCATTTCCACCGAGCGCCCAGCCGCCTATCAGGTCCCCACACTTCACATCCAGTCCCGCCTCCATCCCACATAGGTACGGGGTGCTCTTCGTTTCGGCTATAAAAGCAAATAGATAATAGATAAATAAATAAACAAAGGTTTTAATAGATAAATATCTACAGTAGTGTTCAAATAACCATTCATACCTGGAAACTGAACAGTACATGGCGTCATAATATTGGGCCAGACTATTTCGCAAGACTACTTGTTTAGGTATTCTTTCTGATGGAATGTCCACCAACAAAACTATTCTAAACATTTCATGTTCTGAATAATATGGACGTATGCTATGAATATATTTTTTAATCCCACCAGAATACAAGTATGGTCAGATGTTACAAATATCCTAAATGTGACGTCATAATCGAGGCGTGTTTATGTCACGTTACTCACCAGAGTCATGGCATCCGCTCATGACAATATGATGCATTACGTTCGTATTATCGATCAGTGGGGTTTCAGCAATGATGTGGTAGTCTCCGTCCGTCGGGAGGTCTACGATGACGCAGATGTAGGTGGTCTCCACTGCAGGGACCGGGGTCTCGGGGAGACGAATAGTAATGTTCTTCACGTCTGGAATAATAATAATAATAATAATAATAATAATAATAATAATAATAATAATAATATGATAGTAATAATAATAATAACAATAGCAGTGACAATAATAACAAAATCAGGAAAACAAAGACATAACGTTACTTTTGACTCAGGAAAAGGTTTTGTTATAATAGTTGTCATGCTTTCTATGCACCCTTCATTATTCAAATGGAAGATTGTCTAAAAACACTGTTGGGTCCAAATGTTTTGTTAATTTTGTGTAATTCTGTAGTTTACTGGTATAGGCACACTGCCACACCTGGTGTATAGGGATCACATTTGAAGTGTGGGGTGTCGGGATCATCACCCGCGACGTGACGTCTTTAACTTTAGTGGCTTATCTTTAAATAAAACAATGCATGTATGCCCAAGATGGACAAGGCCCCACTTCTACCACGACCTTGGGTAAAAGTAGTTGAACAATATTGGGGAGCAGGGGGGTTAACCCTGCCTCCCACCTACACCGGCTCTTACACAACACTATCATTATCTATCCAGTATTACCAACACCTACATTTTAAATGTTTACAATAAGAATTCAACATGCACAATCTCCGGAGTCTACCTGGGGAAATTATGTTAGTTGAACTGGCAAACACAATCTCCAGAGGCTACGTGGGCAAATTGTGTTAGTTGAGCTGGCAATCACAATCGGGAATTCCAAGACCGAAACAAACATTTTAATCCGGGTATCAGAAAAGGCCCGAATTAGTAAATTTTACATGTTTACCCTGTTGTGCGTTCACTTTTTTAACGAGATCTTTCCACAAAAATACAAATTATAGTAACTGTAATAATTATTATTGTTATTATAGACATATTATTAACAATATCGAATTATATAATAATCCATAAGTGCCCATAATTAATCCATATTTATATTTTGAATTTAAGTAAAATATCGCTGCATCGATTTGTTAGACCGGCGATCCTTGCAGTCTTAAGGTATCCTTTTATTTCAGTAATTCTTGTACATCTTCACACCCCAGACAATCTGAATGATCCTTACCACACTTCTGAAGGAAATGAACATTGCAACTCTTTGGTATGAAATACAGATACACTCACATTCCTTTCGATTATTTTTGCACGACGTGCTGAATGCCCACCGAGTTACATGCAACACACACACACACACACACATACCTGGTTGATTGATGGCGTCACATTCAAAGTTCAGTTTCTGGCACACGTCCCAGGTGTTTCTGCCCATACATTCCGGGCTGTTATACGGCTCGCACACACCTGAGAAATAGATTAAATTTTTATTATATATATTTCAAATTAAAATACAACAACAACAACAACAACAAAAATAATAATAATAATAATAATAATAATAATAATAATAATAATAAAAATAATAATAATAATAAATAATAATAGTTATGGGGGAGGGGGCTTCCGTTGTAATGGGCGTCCTCCCATGGCGTTTTTATTAACCCCACCTTCAATAATTGCTAACCTCGATCAAGTATCTATCTCAGAATTTTCTTAATTTATCGCGCCGCTCCAGGGCGTCAAGGTGTTCCTGCTCAAGCAACACAGAGTGACTCCCGCCCTCGCCAACAACACCATCGTACCGAGCAAATAATTTATTCCTCTTATTCCTTATTAGTAAATATGCTTGGGAAAATATTGCAACCTCCAGACAAATATAAGTTTTGATTAAGTCTAATCATTGCCCCGCCTAATTCCTGGGTCAGACTGACCTGGGTGTGAGAAAGCAGTTGTGTCTTGGGTGCCAGCGCCCGCTGTCCACACACAGTTTGGATCCCCGAGCTCTTCACCATTGGTCCTGCCGTCACCATCTGAGTCTTTGCGGCAGAGAGTAGCGTCCCATTTCTAGACGAAGTATTAAAGGTGAGGCATCAATCAATACAGTGAGGTGATACCAGGTATATCAATGGTGGTGCCTGGGGGGGGGGGGGGTAAGCCCGAATGACATAGCCCCCTGCTTTGACAGGTACATTTTTTCCTTTTGCCTCCATTCTACCCCTTAACGATACCCTGACCCCGCTTGTGTAATGATATTTGATGGCTTTAATCTTTTTATGTTTCTGATAATTTGAAAAAAAAAATATTCTGAAATATTTGAGCAATATTTTTGACTACTTCAGACGTATTTTATTTCAGTATTCAATTCTCTGTAATTTAGATAAACATAATGAGTTATGTTTAAAGTTTCCAGAAATAACAACAGCAGCTTACGTGTCCGTTGGCAGCGAAGTCCAGCCCGAAAGGATTGCGAGCGCCGCCCCCTTGGGTGTTCTGGTGACCCACCCCCGGCCACAGCTGACTGGAGTCACACGGGTGTGGGATTTTCTTGCCATTGGGAATTCGGTCCTGGTACATGCCATAGCCACTTATCCAGGGAATAAGAACGAGGAGAATGATCAAACTCATTGACCCCTGCTTGGTCACTTTTGCCATCTTGAGTTCATGAAAAAAAGGTGAGATTTATGTATAAGTATTACCTGTAAGGCTGCTTGGCTGACTCTCTCTCTCTCTCTCTCTCTCTCTCTCTCTCTCTCTCTGTGTGTGTGTGTTTCCGGCCGTAGCTTCTTGTTGAAAGACAGGTAACAGCTACTTGTATTCTGGTATTCATTATACTAGTACCTCTCCCACCCCCTGTATGTTCATGTTAGATTTTTATTTAGATTGCTGTCAAATTAGACTGGCCTTTTACGTTCATAATAAAACACATAACCGGTGTAACGTGATGAAGAGTCACCTATAACGGATGTGTCCACTCCCCATTCACTTGTACAGTTGAGCCTCGTCCTAGATTTTGACCCACTTACCGGTAGGTCAGACTAACCCTAACCATTATAACTACAGTATATTGAGGGCGGACTTTTTGTTACACGGACCCTCAGTTTCGTAACACCGGTATTGGAAATACGCACAAGTGTCATCTAAGCCATTTCCCTTCGGCCCGGAGTACATGTACGTTGTATTTTGACAGTATGACGAGAAGCTGTTGTTAAAGTCAGGCTGACACACAGAGTGAGGGGGAGTGATTTTATATACTTTGTACCCTGAAATTAATATCTTTCGATTTTATGTGAAATTTGTGTGTGTGTGTGTGTGTGTGTGTGTGTGTGTGTGTGTGCGCGTTGGGG